TTCTGTTAGCCTGACCTTATAGTGTCTACATGTGCTGAACATTTCTGTTAGCCTGACCTTATAGTGTCTACATGTGCTGAACATTTCTGTTAGCCTGACCTTATAGTGTATACATGTGCTGAACATTTCCGCTAGCCCTTGGGTACAGGACTAGTGGAGTTGTACACCCTGATATTACTGGATTGTTGGTAATATGGTCATTCTGTGATACTTAAAGTTTGACAACATTATAATGATCCGTACAATTTAGGCAAGTTACCAAGAAGTTGGACCAGTTATGTACCGAGGCTCAATCTCCAAATGATGTCTCATCAGAAAATATCTGCTCTGTTCTAGGGTGGTGACAATTTCCTCACAGGATTTAATTATATAATCTGCTTTTAGTAAGGTATTACTCAACAACTGAGGAAATTATGGATGTTGTGATATATATACCAGTTGGATAATTTCTATACCTAGAAACCTATAGACTGGCTACCGGCCCCTAAGTTTTTATGAAGAATTTCCCAACTGTATTTTACTATCGATGCTAGCTTATCGGCCCCTAGAATCAGACATCCAAGTGATCAAAATTACTAGGTTTTTTTTCTTCTAAATAATTTAATATTCTAGAGACGGGGGCCAGTTTAAGAAAACCTGCTGAGTGATTTTTGTTGCCAATTAAACTTTGACACACTTCCTGGTGCACTTCATTAGATTTTAGCACTATTGGGTTTTCAAAATCAAACTGGATGGCAAAGTTTGACTGCAAAAATATTCAAAATTGGTTGTAAATGGTACACAAATATTTGTAGCAGCTTTCAAATGTGAACATTTCCATACAAAGAGTCCAAAGAATGAAATAACAAAAAAGTCCCACTCTATGAAGGGTCCAAAATGTGAAAATATATGACAATTTAATCACTGTGAAAACCTGATATTGTCTTCGTCCTGAAGAGACTATAAATAGTGAAAATTCTGAATAAGCAGTAATTCTGCCACATTGATCAATGCAGTGATTGCCGAGCTCGATACAATAGACATTATAAGGTATTGTTTACATTACAGGATGCTGATGTTGATACAGAGGAGAGAAACTAATACATCCGACCATCATCGGCTGTTCATAATCCTCGTTATATAAATACTTACGTAGAATGACATTGTTGTAATGGGTTGGTAGACAATTGGACAACACCTGATCATTAGTGTAAGATTTGTAAATGGAAATACTGCAGGTGTAACCGTAGCCAGTCGTTTAACCCTTGCACCGACACAGATAGTGCTGTTCTGAGTAGGTGCCAAGTCACTGGGATGGTCTATATGCATGTCTGGGTTTGTATTACTGGTAGGCACAATTGCATACTTGACGGTATATTGGTTTGTTATTTGTTGTGTGTGACTTGGATTTATAGATTCCAGAATATCTCGGTAAGACTTTGATTCACGCTGTCAATGTATATCACAATATTTAAAATATTTTTCGGCTCTCAAATATCAACTTGTTGTCACTGTCTGCTCACTCGGGATTATAAGAATCAAGTTAGTGATTACAAGGACATTATTGTTGATACCTTAATAACTTTACCCTGCCCAAAATTCCTGGAATTCATATGATTCATTAGAATGAATTTTATTTCGTTTCACAAGAATCAATATTATTTGTGTAGATGGGATTACAATTATTTCAGTTCAAGTGATTCAAAATTATTTTAGTCCATGAGAATTAATATTATTTCGGTTCATGAGAATAGATATTATTTCAGTTCATGAGAAGAGATATTACAATGCATTTGGGTCCACGAGAATAGATATAATTTGTGTAGATGGGAGTTAGGATTATTTCAGTTCATGAGAATTAACATTATTTCGGTTTATGAGAGTTAATATTATTTTGGTTCATGAGAGAGAGTTAATATTATTTCGGTTCATGTGAGTTAATATTATTTTAGTTAATGACATTGTATATACATGTATAGGTAACCATCAGTCAGTCTCTCACATTGGTTGACACGGTAGGTGTAGGTCCAGCCCAAATGATTTTAACTCATTCACCCCCTAAAGGACACATTTGAACTCTTCCAATTAAAAGGTTGGAATAGTTCATTATGAAATTTCAGGGTTTTTTGAGTTAATGACAGGAAGTATCAAGATAGATGCAGTGAACTTTTATCTTTTTTTTGCGCATTTCTTGTGTCTTAACAAATTAAAACAAGGAGTGTAAATAGTAAACAATTAGTGAACATCCTCTTTGATTGATGTGTTACTATGATGTTGATAGGTACGATGTTGATAGGTATGCGTGTAGTATTAATATCTAGTGTGATGACCACAGAAATACACACGGCTCCCCACACATGATGGATCATCCCTGACACCTCCTCACCACATTTAGTGCTACTCCTCTGTTGTCGGGCAAGCTCATTTAGTACGTGACAGAATATTAGGCATTCAGCTTTGAGCTAATGTCTGACTATAGATAAACAGAAAGTACATGGTTCGTGTCTTAAAATACAAGGTTGATTTGGGCAAGAGTGAAGATGGCAAGCCATCTCTGTTGTAATGTCCAAAGGCGAAAAGGACAGATTTATCTAATGGTGCCAAACTCTTCATTATTGCTGTAAGAAAAATGGCCAGTGCAAGCAGAAAGATTGATGACTTCCTGCATTGAACATCGAGCTAAATATGATTCATAGCCCTATGTCATGGATAGCAACGTCTTCTTTCAGTCTGACGCCATTTTCTCAGCGTATACACACTAGCAAAGTCTCGCAGAATTTATTTCATAAAAGTGTGGTGGGGCTATTATTTCTTCAGTTATGGACCCTGTTCAACTGTTTTTATGTATTTGCAGGCCCCAGTGCTCCGAGTCCACAGACAGCAGCCCAAAGGAAGGCTCACCGGAGACTTACGCGCGAGGACAACAGATATCACTCCGGTAAATCTGCCTTTCCTGTCTTAATATACCCCATCAAAATAATTATAGGATATATATATACACTTTCTTGTCGCTTTTTCAGAAGAGTTCTAGAATTATTAACTCGTTGACCCCTGAAGACACATTTGAACTCCTCCAATTCAAAGGTTGGAATAGTTCATTATGAAATTTCAGGGGTGATGAGTTAAAGATATCTGTAAAATATATTTTACTTAAAGTCAGTTAGACTTTATTCATGAATTCATGTCATAATTATAGCCCTGTGAATCTTTAGGGGTGAAGTATGTTTATGTACAGTGCAATTAGTTACTTTCGGTGTAATGTATATCATGTCCGAAGGTACCCGCTTTTGTAGTTGGGATGGGAGGGGGAGGGGGGTGTCTCAAAATAGAAATTAAAGTAACGCTAACTATTGAAATCAATGAAATCAACACAGAAGGCTGGCTATACAGCGGGAAAATCGGGGGAGGTAGAAATAATGATAACCTGAAAAGTAATTGGTGCAAATAATAAATTCTGTAATCATTAAAAATGTAACTTGCGCCCATAGTAATAACACTCCAGTTCATGACTACAGTGTCAAATTTGTGCAAGTTAAATTGAAAAATATGAAATAAGGCTGCAAGCCATGACATTAAATCCACTGTGATAATTCTGTGAATCCTCCTGTTACTTCCCCGTAAATGTTATTGACATTTGCCCAATTAAGAGCATTTTGATTGGGTAAGAAGTTTTATTTCCTGATCTTTCTAATCACTAGGGATTAACCCAATTACTGATATTTGCTGGTCAATCTTGGTCCTGAATTGCTTGAATTTATTTTGAAATTTTGTTGCTTCTGCATTTTAAGTTTAAATATTTTAAAACAGTATGTTGTGCCCATAGCTTTGGATACCTTAGCCTATAGGCCTGTGTATATGTTCTGTTTGTCTGTAGCCATGGTTATCGTAACTCATTGTCCTGTATAAACTCTGGTAATTGCAGCACTATAGTTAGTTACCTAACTAAGTATAGGTTAGGGGGGTATTCATGTCTCGCAAATGCTTTCTAGTTTCTTTTTTAATCCAAAAAATCACCTTACATATAATTTATTGTTAAAATTGTAAATGCTTTCATTTTTCAAAAAAAATCTGCTTATATAATAACATGCATTATTGTTTTTCATTAAATCAAACTTTTTACATTGAACGTTTTGATCACGTCTACCTAGTCCATTGGCATATAATGCATTGCAATATATTCAATAAGGAAGCTTGTTTATGACAATTTGAAGTTTTGACCTTAGAAAGGCTTCAGCTTGACAAGTTTCAAAGAGACTACTACTCTATAGCTCTATGACCACAATTCAGATTGTACTGACCCCTATACAGCCAGCCATACAGAACATTTATATGGGCCAGTAAGCTGTGGTGTCTAAAGTAACACTTCCTACAACTTACAGTCAAACCTCATAAACTTTGAAATAAAAGTGTTACAAAATTTTGAGGTAAACATATGGTACTGTACTTGAAGTGTTGAAAACAAGAGCTTTATTTCGCAGATATTTTCAATTAAAACACAATTTTCAAAACCTCCGCAAATTATTGATTACTCTTCATTTTAACCTTTACACAATGTTTAAGGTATATTTTGATAAATTCATTGATTTTAGAGATAAATTTCATTTCAATGAATGATATTGAGAATATGATTGAGGTTTATTTTAATAACTTTCGTTGTTTTAGTAAAAAAATGTCCTTTGATTTAACGATATTTCGAATAAAGTGATGAAGTTTGACTGTTTGTCCAGTTGACTGTGTGTGACATTGTGCTACATGCTACCAACCTTATTCTTTGACGTTTCTTGTTTGATATATTTCCATCCTAAATCTGGAGTTTGTTTGTGTGTGTTTGTGCCACTTTACTGTTAACCCCGGTTGACCAATCACCTGTGCCGTTACAGAGATCCGTACGGAAGCTGTGATGCAGGCTCTGGCCATGTCCAAGCGCGGCCCTGTGATGCCCCTCCCCTCCAAACGCACGTCTGTCAATTACCAGGGACAACAGCGACACCGGGACAGGCAGGGTACGAAACATCTGTTTCAGGTCTTGATTCACATATAAATTAAACTTATGGAATTTTGGCCCCGGAATATCAAAATATAAAGCTGAATTTTGTGTTCTTGAAGCAAATTTAGACAATACATTTCATTGAGTAATCTGCTTAAAAACAATCTCAATCATATGGGTTATTGGTTGAATTAACTTCAAGACCTGAATTTGTTTTGAAGAAATCGGCTAGAATCCTTTATTTTGATCAGCAGAACCTGAGACACTAAAATGTTACTTTAATGCGCTTGTGTTTAGTGTTTTGTTTTTTGTATGGAATCGTTAAAATTTTGTTTTCATATTGACCATATCAGAAATAATATCATCTTTTATCTCAGGCTTGTGTCTGATTCTCTCTTAATCTGTTTCTTATCCTTCTTTAAATATTATTTCCATTTCTTTAAATCTGATTCCTCTCCTTCTCTGAATGTGATTCCTATCTCTCTTTAAATATAGGATTCCTATCACTTTCTAAGACTGCTTTTCTATCTCTCTAAACCAGATTATCATACCTCTCTAAATCTGATTTTCTAATACCAAAAACCAGACTGAACACATTTGTAAAATGTCATCAAAATTCAAATTATGGTGGGTTTTTTAATCTAAAAAAAAAAGTGTACCACTTCAATTTAAGCAGATAACCTTTGTAGTGCCTTGTACAAAGGCCTGAAGTTCCTCGTTATACTGACAAAGTGGTGAAGTTTTGTGTGATAAGATCTGTAGGCTCTCGAGCTATCTCGACAACAACTGTGCCTCTAAGTAGGACAGAAAGCTCCGGTTTCTGTGACATGTCAGAATCGAGGAAGTGACCAATTTTGCGGACTTCCTTATATATCTTAAGTTGTTAAAAAAAGTGACTTTACTCAAACTTTATATTTAGAAATGAAATTAGTATAGAGAATAAATTTATCACTTGACTACCGTGCTAGGCTGTCAATACACCCTTTTTAGCCCACCATCATCTGATGGTGGGCTATTCAAATCACCCTGCGTCCGTGGTCCGTGGTCCGTCCTTAAACAATTCATGTTATGGCTATTTCTCAAGAAGTACCAGAGGGATCTTTCTCATATTTTGTATCTAGGTTCCCATTGGTCCTAAGCTGTGCAGGGCAACTTTTGAGTCTAATCGGATAAACAACATGGCCGACAGGCAGCCATCTTGGATTTTGATATTGAAAGTTTGCTATAGCTATTTCTCAAGAAGTACCAGAGGGATCTTTCTCATATTTTGTATCTAGGTTTCCATTGGTCCTAAGCTGTGCAGGGCAACTTTTGAGTCTAATCGGATAAACAACATGGCCGACAGGCAGCCATCTTGGATTTTGATATTGAAAGTTTGTTATCGCTATTTCTCGGGAAGTACCAGATTGATCTTTCTCAAATTTTATATGTAGGTTCCCCTTTGTCCTTAGTTGTGCATGTTATATTTTGAGACTGATCATTAAAACAAAATGGATTAAAAGAAGAACTAAACAGATCTTTCTCATATTGCAATGATCGATTCTATTTCTTTCACATTAAGTACTGTACTAGTAAATATGTGAAATGACAAACTCACTTTGAAAGTTGGCTTTCATACACATCAGTATTAAGTTAAGATCAAAAGTTACCTCAAGGTGCATTTACTGTTAACATGACTCAATCAAACAGATTAGAGGAAAGAAGAGAAAAGATCAAACTGACAAAGAACTAAAGAAGATGGTACAAAGGTGGGCACCAAGATCCCTCTGGGATCTCTTGTTATATATTTTTGCAAATTACTTACCGCCCATTGTGACGTTAGCATTAAATAAAGTACACATGACATCATAGAATGGTGAAGTCACATTGCAGACAGTATGCGTAAGTCAGAAAAATGACTTTAATGTTTTAAAGATGGTTAGAGAGGGTTTTTTCTTTTTTGTGAAAAATGGAGCCGTGTTAGGAAACTCTTCCTAAAGTTTTTACTCCTTATTGAAAAATGTTCCTTCAATTTATTCGTCTTAAACCTGGAACTTAAAAATAAAATTGGATGTTGTCTCTTAGGGTGATCCATTTCAGTCCCTAATTCTGAAAATTGTTCTTCGTTTTGTCCACACTAGTTCTTTTTAATTTTACTGTACTTGAAAAGTTATCTTTGACAAATTTTTTTCTCTCTGAGTACACATGCTTTTCTGGACAACTAACTGCTTATTTTCTTTTTAAGGAAAATAGCTGTTTTATTTGAACAACACTGCATGCTGAATTTAGTGGGCTTTTCAGGCTTTTCATATTACATTGTTGTATAGATCTGTAGGCTTATAAAATAATGTTTTGTAATTAATCTTAATTATCAATTTAGAAAAAAATTACTGCTAATTGTTAGATTAATGGCCTAGAATCTGAAATTACTCTTAAAATTACTTGTTGATTTATTGAATGCTGTTATCTTAATTGTAGTTGAAATCTTAGAGTGGTTCTTTAGGAGTTTAACTCATTCACCCCTGAAGACACATTTGAACTCTTCCAATTCAAAGGTTGGATTAGTTCATTATGAAATTTTAGGTGTTAATAAGTTAACTAAACCCATAGAATAATGCTACATATGTAAAGATCACATTGAAATCCTAAATCTTGTGAATTTTGAGAATATCTATTAAAGAATGATGCTGAATTTATGCAGATATAAGTGTTCATTCATTTAGTTACTGTAAAATTAATATTTTGGGTGTGTGGATATTGTAGCGTTTTGACTCTTTCAAGTTTGAAGTATGCCGTTTATGTGTCAATAACGTGCCACGTTGGTCAGACAGGTGACCACATAAACAGCCATGAAACTGTCTTTTACAAAAAAAAGAACACTTGTATCTGAATTCAAATCATTTCTTTATGACAATGTTTCAAGATGGGTGCTGTAGTTACGAGTTTGGTGTCCTTGGTTTCAGGAAATCGAAGGAATAGGCTTATCAGCTGTAAGTGGGGTGCGCACCATCTGTACGACCTAAATCTCTTCTGTTTATAGCTCGTTGGTGAAGGGGGTTTTCCCTTTTACTTCTTGTGGTGATTTTTATTTTCTCTTTTTCATCAATTTGATTCAGTTTCACAAACACCCATGTTTCATTTTATGGTTTTCTTTGTAGGATTTTTTTTCTCGCTCTTGTCTCAAAACTCATTTGTCTATCATATATATAACCAATATAGATCAATTTTGTTGTGTTTTTCAAACTGAACTAGATTTTTTAGAAAGAAACTTTTCGGTTAAAACTGTTGTCTTATTAGAGTAGCAAATATATATACTTGATGTGTATAGTAAAACTGTACACGATTTTTCTGAATTCTGCATGGTTTTTAGGTCACCTGAGCTTTGCTCAAGTGACCTATTCCAATCACTTTTCGTCCGTCGTCGTCCGTCTTGCGTCGTGCGTAAACTTTTACATTATCAACTTCTTCTCAAGAACCAGTGGATGGAATATTTTCAAACTTGGTCAGAATCATCCTTGGTATATGGGGCTAACAAATTGTAAAATTGGGATTCCTACCACAACCCTAGGGGCCAGGGCGGGGCCCAAAAGGGAAAATTAACCAATATTTCAAAAATCTTCTTCTCAAGACTCAGAGGTATTACAGTCATTTTCTCTGCATGGATGGAAAGATCATCAGGGGCTTTATTTAAATTGTAAATTTAAGGACCCCCGAGGTATCCGTTCTCCGTTGGGGAGGGGGTTAAGTTTACTATAGTTTATATAGGGAAACAGCACTTTTGGGTATATTTTGACAATTTTCTGTTGGAAATTATTTTTACTTGGTCAGAATTATCCTTGGAGGAGGAAGATGGTTTTAAATTGTAAAATTGGGATTCCTGCCCCATCCCCAGGGGCTAGGACGGCGCCCCAAAGGGAACATTTACCAATATTTTCAAATTCTTATCCTTTGATGACATGACAAGTATTGCATTTCACTTAGTTTACATGCTGATTTCCACATCACATCTAAACAATAAAATAAATCTACCAGTACCTATGATATAACTCAGGTGACCGCTAAGGCCCTTGGGCCTCTTGTTAAATGAAAGAAATCTTTTTAAGTGCTTAATGGTTTTCGATGTCTTCATTTGTAAATCAATATTTTTCTCTATGTGAAACCTTCAAGGATTATTATGTTTTCTAAGAAGTCCTTTGCATTATAAAATAAGTACAGTAGAAATATTTAAAATCGTTTCATTTCTGATATTGACTGAACTGTTTCAAAATTCTTATAAAATACAAAATGATACGATTCATTTAAAGTTAACATCATTGAATCATCATAATAATTACAGTAAAATGGTTCAAATCTGCAGATTATTAAAAATAGATTTAAATTTGTTTACTGTCTTAAGATTACAAAAAATGCATGTTCATAAATTTTACAACCATTAAACTGTCAGAAATTCATTAAAATTTTACAACCATTAAACTGTCAGAAATTCATTAAAATTTTACAACCATTAAACTGTCAGAAATTCATTAAAATTTTACAACCATTAAACTGTCAGAAATTCATTAAAATTTTACAACCATTAAACTGTCAGAAATTCATTAAAATTTTACAACCATTAAACTGTCAGAAATTCATTAAAATTTTACAACCATTAAACTGTCAGAAATTCATTAAAATTTTACAACCATTAAACTGTCAGAAATTCATTAAAATTTTACAACCATTAAACTGTCAGAAATTCATTAAAATTTTACAACCATTAAACTGTCAGAAATTCATTAAAATTTGACTATGTCCAGAATGCTATTTATACCATTCTATACTATTGTATTATAAGACATCCACTGTAGCAGAAGGATGGGGTATTTTGGTATTTTGAGGTGATCAATGATGGAATGAACTAGGTAGTTTTGTTTTTTGCCTGCCCCCACCCACTGTGGTACGGTGTGAGTGTTGACTGACCCCTTGCCTCGTTCTACCGTTTCATTTAATATAATATCTCAAACTCATTGAAACTTTTTTTCGTTTTATAACAAAGGCACTGTCTGGCTTTTGTATTTATTGTTTGAAAATATATAGTCTGACTTAAACAAAAAATATTTTTTAAGAACTTTTTTTCTTTATTTTGCAGATATTTCATTGTGTAAAATGTTAAAAATTACAAAGTACTATTTGGGTAAATAAGAACTTGCAATTACATTATTCCATGTCACCAAGTAATTTACATGTTGTATCAATCACAGGTAAAAAAAAAAAATGTCTAAAAATTCAACTTTTTGTTTTTTAGGGGGAGGGTGGAGCCCCAGATGATTAGTTTTAATTTTGAAATTGAAGATGATGCATAAATGATAAGCTGTGAGCCAGTGTTTCATAGCTGTTTGTTAACTTATTGTATATATTAGGCCGTTCCCTCTGGTCATGAATGTCAACCAATATATTCATCATGGGCCATTGTCATTCTGTTTACATGTCTGTTACAGTGCAGACAATACATTCATGCTTGGAATAATAAGTCGTAAAAATCATGTTAGGTTTATGATGTGATAGCTTGTTTAGCATAAACAAGAGTTGTTTTAACATGTTAGAAATTTCAGTGCCCTTAATGTGATGTCCACCCACTCTCACATAATTCTGATGATGACCAGCCATGGTAGCCTCCGTTTGAGTTACCGAGGTCCAAAACAATTACAGTAAACTTTTGTGGTCGGGTCAGTATGCAAACACTTTGCATCAAAAACTGATTTGCCATAAAATTGATATTTTAGATATTTTTAATTTCTTTAAATAAAATGTTTTGATTGTTCGAACTTTTCAGGTGTTGATCATCATCACCACACCTTACAGCTTCAGACAATGGTTTATATAGGCTGTGTACTTCAGTGATGTTCCTGTATAACACAAAAGAGTCAATACATTTCATATACTGGGTCTATTACATGCTATGTAACATAAAACAGCTTTCATGGTTTCACATTTTCAAATTCTTTTATTGTTGCGAAACTATTGAGGGCATAAGAATTTTGAATTGTAATTCTATAATTCTGTAACAGAGCGCATGATTAATTAAATATAAATCACTGCCTCCGCATGGGATCGAACCCGGGACCTCTGGCTTACTAGTCTTACGCTCAACCGATCGAGCTAAAGAGAAGTTCTCTCTAGCCGAGCGGTATATTGCAGCTAGTATTTACCAGGGTTACATACTCCCCCTCCAGGGAAGAACTCGTCCTCGAGCTTCCAGGGGTCACGGTCATAGCCATTCCTTCGCAATTATAGCTAGCGCTGAGTATTTTGTCAATTCACCCGGGTCCCTACGTGGGCGCCAATGTAACAGAGCGCATGATTAATTAAATATAAATCACTGCCTCCGCATGGGATCGAACCCGGGACCTCTGGCTTACTAGTCTTACGCTCAACCGATCGAGCTAAAGAGAAGTTCTCTCTAGCCGAGCGGTATATTGCAGCTAGTATTTACCAGGGTTACATAATATTGAAGGTTTTTGTGGATGTTACTTTTTTTTTTTTTTTTTTTTTTTTTTTT